GAAGAAGAGTTCCCAGAGTTGGAGACCGAGGAATTGGCGTCCCTCGACGAGCCCACTCGGAAACAGTACGAAGAAGCGGCAGCGGCTCACAAGCAGGCTCGCAACGTGCTCAAGTCGGCCACCGACGCGGGCAAGGCGGCGCGAGAGGCTGCAGAGAGGCTGCGAACGCTGCACCATTCCATCAAGAGGCGCAGAGGGGCGGGAGGTGAAGCCCAAGGAGCAGGTGCAGCAGCGGCGAAGCCAGACGAGAGCGCCGCAGCGGCAACTCCAGAGGCGGTTGACTTCACGGACCCGAGCGCGATCGACCAGTACATTGCCAAGACAGCGGCGCTCCGTGCCAGGGCCAAGGGGGCAGCCAGCGTTGCACCGTCGAGCTCCTGACGGCGCCGTCGTCGGCACAAAGAAAGAACGACCTACACGAATGAAGAGTGGCTATGTGGACGTGCTGTTCGCTAACGTCACGCACTACGGGGAAAAGGTGCGACACTACGTGGAGCACTGCAGTTTTGACATGGTCGGCTTAGCAGAGCATCACTTGCTCCCAAAGGCCGCCAAGCAGGAGATCAAGAAACTGAGATTCAAGGGGTGGCAATCCCAGTTCTCGTGGACGCCTGCGACACCATCGATGCGGAGTAAGTCTGGTACTCAAGGGGGGACGTGCTGGCTTGCCAGAGCAGGTCACGTCGCGGCAGCACACTTGCCCGATGGCACGGGGCACAGTGAATTTCAGAAAGAACTGCGCGACATCTCGATCATCCTCTGGCGTTTGAAAGGGGCGACGCTGGCTTTGATCTCGGTGTATCTTGATTGCAGTGTGGGACTAGACGGACCAGCGAACGTCGCCAAGATGGTACAGCTGACACGAGTGGTGAAGTCCCTAGGAGTGCCATGGGTAGCACTCGGAGATTGGAACAACACACCGACGCAGATGCAGCAGTCACCATGGTTGAAGGCTCTGAGGGGAGAGTTGCTGATACCAAGCGATTGTACCGTCACATGTTCCACAGGCAAAGGCAGACTCATTGATTACGGGATAGCCTCGCGAGACTTTCGCCCGTTTGTGAAAGAATTCAAGCCTGTGAGGGAAGTTCCATGGAGCCCACACGTGGGCCTCCACCTGCGCCTGCACTCGCGACCCGCCTCGGTCAAGGTGCAGATGCCGATCCAGCCAGTGAAGATCGAGATCGCCACCACCACGGTCCACAAAGAGAAAGGACTCAAGCGAGCCCAACGTGATCGTGAGAAGTATCAGAAGATGGTGGCAGCAGCAGCAGAGCGCGACGAGAATGCAGCGACACCAGGAGACCTGCATCATGATGAGTATGCGCACCTCCTGGAGACGACGTATGCCACGAAGCAGAAAGAGGCAACCAGCGATGAGCAGCGGTTTCAGGCGCTGGCAGACACCCGAGGACGAGCGGTGCAAGACCCAGTTGATGATGTGGCAGACTCCTGGGCGTATCGGCTGGACCATGAGGGCTCCAACAAGCTGGCCTACCACTTTGGCGAATGGTCAGTAGCAGCGGAGCAGTCACTGTGCATCATGACGGATGCCAAGCCAAAAGATAAGGTGCGAAGAGGATGCAATCCCAAGTTCACGCTGCGCAAGGTCACCATTCAAGAGAAGACAGACCCCTTCTTGGACGCGGCCCTCAGGGAAAAGGCGAATCTGTGGGAGGCCTTGGCTGCCAGACTGAGGGAGTTGGCAATACTGAAGGCGCGGCAGAAGAAGGATGAAGACTTGAAGCTGGTTGAGAGCGTCATGCGCTCGCTCAGTCAGCGCATCGAGCTCATCGACCAGGCCAAGGGCGGCAAGCAGGACACTGACAGGGACAAGGAGGAGGACAGCAGGGTGCTGCTCAACTTGACGCAGTATCTAGCAGGTCAGCCTTGTCAGTCACTGCGGGGCCCGCCGGCCCCAAAGCCGTCAAAAAAGCAGCGGAAGGCCGGAGAGAGCGGCACCCAGAAGGAGGCGACGGTGGAGCTGATCGCCCCACCAGTGGCCACCAGCAGCATGGACTGCGAGGACGACCCCTTCGTGCAGATGGATGCGGAGGCGGACGAGCCCAACCTTCAGCAGCTGCAGCTGGAGGAGGAGGCTGCTGAAGAAGAGGGGGAAGGTGCGACGGCAAGTACAGCTGAGCAGCCCCAACTGGCCCGCTCTACGGGGTTGGGGACACGAGGGACCTCGATGGCGGGAAGCTCGACACCTACGGCTCCACCGACTGGGGGTACATCGTCCCAACTGGCCCGCTCTACGGGGTTGGGAACACGAGCGACGAGGGAAGCAAGCAGTTCGACACCCTCGACGCCGTCTACTGGGAGTACGCCGCCCCAACTGGCACGCTCTACGGGGCTGGGGCCAAGAGCGACAGGGAGTGCGAGCAGTTCTACTTCGATGTCGCCGTCTACTGGGAATTCTTGGATGTCAGAACGCTCCAGGGCCCCGCAAGGGAGCCCTGGATCACCGTCGCCACCTGGACGACCCGCGCCCTGGGCACTCCAGCCGCAGGAGGAGGGAGCTCCAGCGAGCGGCGCGGGCGGACAGGAAGCTTGCTGGATCCGTGATAGCCATGGCAGCACAGACAGCGGTAACTTCCCCCTGCGTGGCGAGGGGTTAGGCCACAGTGGGCAGGAGCAGATGAGGACTGAGCTAGGTGAGCCCCTCGACTCCCCCACCACCCTGATCGAGCCAGGTGGGCCCTCCGTGACGTCGAGGTCTGAGCTAGGTGAGCCCCTTGACCGAACTGGAGCAGATCAGAGCGAAGCATCGGAAGAAGCAGAACTGATAGCTGAAGTTTTCCGACGAGCAGCCCGTCATGCTACCCTGGCCTGGCGGGACACTCGAGCACAAGTACGAACGTAGGCCAAGAAGGCATCAGACAACGCGATGAAAGGAGCACATCGTTATCTGAGTTCCGAGGAGCGAATCGGCACGAGTGATGGATGCTTGGACCCAGACACCAAGAAGTGGGAGATGGACCCGCAGAAAGGAATTCAACTTCGACGACGGCAGTGGGAACGGCGATGGACGGCTCACAAGGAGTTTGCCACGAAGGAGCTCCCGCAGGCCATGCGCGACCTGAAGAGCAAGGCCCTGGAGGCGCTCGCCGGAAGGCCCTTCCTCACGCGTGAGTGCCTAGACATGGCGCTGAGCAGCTTCCAGGCGGGGACTGGGCTTGGTGCTGATCAATGGGCGCCAGACCAGTTGCGAGCGCTCAGCCCGTCGTGCAAGGAATCGTTCCTCCTCATCCTGAACATGTGCGAGAGGCAGTTGACTTGGCCTCATCAGATAATGCAGATGTGGTATGCCCTACCACCAAAGGGGGACAAACAAATAGCGGGGGAAGAGCGGCCCATAGGGCTGATGCCGATGACGATGAGAGTCTGGGGTAAGATGACCAAACATCGATTAACTGAGTGGTGTGATCGAAAAGCGGGGTTCTGGGACGCGGCAGTAAGAAAGAGTTCGGCGTTGCAGTCGGCACTGCTAACACTAGTTCTGGACGAAACACGAGCCAATCTAGACGAAGCCAGCCAAGCTACGTTCTTCCAGGACTTAGAGAAGTTCTACGATTTGGTGGACTTAGGTATATTAGCAGTACGTGCAGCACAGGTCGAGTACCCCCCAGTAGAGCTGTACATGTGCATCATGTCGTACCTCTGCCCTAGGCTAGTCAAGGCTAATAAGATATTCAGTGACTTGATCGTTCCTGACAATGGGATGGTACCAGGATGCGGGAAAGCTAACCACGGAGCGCGAGCACTACTCTATCATGTGCTAGAAGAAGTACATCTAGCCGTCCCGATAGCGAGGTTGCGACAGTTCGTGGACGACATCACCGTGAGGGTCGAGGGCCCTGACGACGTGGTAGGTGCAGCGGTGTCGAAAGCAGCGAGCGTCCTGGTTGGAGGCTGTCTCAAGGCGAGGCTCAGGATCTCCGACAAGTCAACCATCCTTGCCCAGAACCCCCAGGACGCCCTGGAGGTGGAGAGGTCCCTGGCAGAGTTAAATGTTTCCATCAAGAAAGGCAAGGAGATGAAGGACCTGGGGACCGACAACACCATGGGGATGCGTAGATCCAGGAAAACGGCAACAAGAAGGAGTAGACTCGGCAAAATTCGGGCCACCAGGGCCGGTTTATTCGCCAGTTTGGGACGGGCCCGACGAAAGAAAAGCAAGCTCCTATTTAATGCTAACGTGCGGGCTAAGATGTCCTACGATAGCCCTCTCTTCGGCCTCCCCCCGACCGAAATCCGAAAGCGGAGAGCTATGGCAGCGGACTTAGCTGGTTTTGGAAAGAAAGGCCGCTGCACCGCGATGGTCATGCTGCTGATGTATGGGGAGGGGGGCCCTTGGGCTGCGTGCGTGAAGCGCCAGGCCAAAGAGTGGCTCATTTTCTGGGCCAACAACCCCACCCTCAGGCAGCAGGTTCGGAGGGGTTGGACGGCCACTAAGTTTAAGCTTGCTAGGTTGAAGCCCCGATCCCGATGGCGAGCAGTAGCGGGGCCTATGGGGGCCTTGTTGCTCACCCTTCGTTCCCTGGGATGGGTTGGGGTTGAGCCTGACGTTTGGGAGGACCCCGACGGTGCTCAGTGGCGTTTCAACCCCGACCTGTCCGAGGATGTGACTGAAATTTGTGATGCCCTGGCCCAGTCAGTTCAGAAGCAGTTGTGGAAGCAAGTCTCCCTGCACAGTGAAGGAGCCTGCCTCAAGGACGGGGGGGACCTCACCATGTTGCAACTTAGTCAAGCGCATGCATAAGAAAGATATGTACCAGGAAGCTGGCGCCCTGGAGGGGATAGCGCGTGCCACAATTTGGAATGGAGATCGCCAGAAGCGAGCTGGCTATCAGACAGACGGCTTGTGCACTAGGTGTGATCTAGGGGCCCCAGATACCACGCGTCATAGGACTTACGAGTGCCCCTGTCTGGCCCAGTTGGAGCACCCTTGGATTGCCAGAACGGGACACTTGTGCGAGCGAGCGATCCGCGACCTCGACCGAGGGGTTAATGAATCGCTTTGGCTCCGAGGGATCGTTCCCCTGTCATGGAACCCTGTGCCTCCCCCACCAGAGTGGGGGGATGTGAATGCCTGGCGTGTTAGAGCTGTTGACACCCCACCACCCGCCATCGGTCCCAATGGAGAAGTGACGCCAGCCCGAAGGCTGGAGGCGAGGGTCGGCTTCTTGGATGGATCTGGCACGTCGTCGGACCTGCGGGTGGCGCGTGTGGGGTGGGGCGTCTGTCTCCAGATGGGACTGCATGGCCCTCCCGTCCCTGGAGCCTCGGACCCTTCCCCTCCCCTCCCTGGGTGGTATGGGGGAGTCGACGGCCGCCAGACCGTCCCAGCAGCAGAGCTCGCTGCCTTGTGGTGGTGTTTGGAGCTCACGACTGGGGATATAATTATATATACTGATAACCAGGCCGTCTTTGATGGGTGGCACGGGGGTAAGCTTGATGACCCCAGCGGTGTGCTCAGGGGGTGGTGGCAGAGAGTCAGTGCAGCTGCCCAAGCCCGCCCTGGGGTTGTCACCCTCCGAAAGTGTTTTTCCCACCTCGATACCCAGTCCCACCTCCTGTCCTCCCAGCCTCCCTCCGTCTCCCGTGGGAATGAGTTGGCCGACGCCTATGCCCAGAGAGGGGCTGAGGAGGCGAGTGCGGCCATCAGAGGAGAGATCAAGGCCTTAGGCGTCGCGGACGCCTGCGCGACCCTCGCCCAGCAGCGCCTGGCCGCGGTGACCAGGGAGCTCGCGTCGCAGGACCGCGAGCAGTGTGCACGGACTCCCGAGGGGGGAGGGGGGGCTGCTTCCAGGCGGGCAGTCGAGCTCGAGCGTGTGTCGGGCCACAAGTTGGGGCGGTTGGCCAATGGGGCGTGGCTGTGCCGTCGGTGCCGTCTTGGGCCGCCTCCTGGGTCGTCGCTTGTGGACTGGCTCGGGCTCGAAGGTAACCGCTGTAAGGGGGACCCCACCCAACGGCACTTGAGCGAGAATGATAATGTTGTGCTTGTGCCCCGCCCTGTGACCACGGAGTTGAGGACGGCCTACAGGCAGGTCCACCCCTCCCATTGTGTGGCCATGCGTAACGGGCAAGTGTGGTGTTGGAAATGCGCCAGTCTGGGCACCGTGGTGAACGGGGGGGGCCGTCTCTTGCTCTTGGCGAAGCCGTGCCGTGGTTGGACCACCCCCTCGGGAGATAATTATCTCAGCAGATTGCGCAAGGGGCTCCCACCAAAGGGCGACAAGTGGCCCAATGACAAGGGAGCGGGGCGCCTCCGAGTTGAGGCAGGCTCGAGCGTAATCAAGTCGCTTTTGAAACCCAAGTCTCGGAGATAGATTGCTATCGAGAGCCGCCCCCCGAGGGGGGGTGTAATTGTCCAGCTGTGGCTTCGCTGCTGACTGGCACCCTTCAGCATTATCCCAGCATTCTCCCTCCCCCTCCTCCTCCTTCCTCCTCCTCCTCCTCCTCCTCCTCCCTCTCCTCCTTCTTCCTCCTATCCTCCTCCTCCTCCTCCTCCTCTCCTCCTCCTCGCTCTCCTCCTGCTCCTCTCCTCTCTCCTTCTCTACTCCTCCTCCTCCTCCCTCTCTCCTCCTCTCCTCCTCCTCCTCTCCTTCATCTCCTTCCTACCAATCCTTGGATTCGTTACGATCCCCTTGCCCCTTTGTGCTCCATTTGATCGCACTCTCCCTTCTGATCCTTCTTTCTGCTCCTTCCCTCCAACTCTCCCTCTTCACTACAACCTTCTCCCTTCCCACCCTCCCAGCCCGATTCTCCATTCCCCGCCTCCGTCGTCCTTCAATCCCTCCCTCATTCCCTCCTTTCTCTCTCTCCTAATCCTTATTCCTTAATTAGAATATACTCCTACTCCCCCCTCAGGCCGTCCATTAGGGGCCGCATCCGGGGGGTCCCATCCTAACCTGTAAAAAACAATACAAAATCAACATGGTTCTTATTTTTTCCTCTCGACATGGACGTCCTGTCGTCCACGGCGATAATCCATTGCAAAAAATACCACAAAGAGCACACGCGCGCGTTCATGTCAGAATCCTACCGAACACCGTGTGTTTGCAAGCAGTTCAACATAAAAACATCAAAAACCCAATGCTTTTTCACAAAAATTGTACAAATTTCCCGCCCGGGCTCTCTTGCTGAAATCATAGGAAAAACCATAGGAATCTTAAGAATTCTGTCAAATCCAGCGATTTCACGTCATCGCGCGGTGTACTCGCGATGCTCTGTCATGCACCCAGGCCGCGAATCCTGTGCAAAAAATACCACAAAGAGCACACTCGCGCGTTCATGTCAGAATCCTACCGAACGCCGTGTGTTTGCAAGAATTTCAACATAAAAACATCAAAAACCCAATGCTTTTTCACAAAAATGCTTTGGGGTGTCCTGTCAGACCGTCGGGCTTCCTCCGGCCACCTCTGGCTTCCTGCGGTGTACCGGGCCATTCTCGACTCGTCTGGCAATGCGTGCGCGGCATTCAACACGCGCTCGCCAGTTTCCGTC